TCTTCTGGCACATGCCCACTGTAGAAGGACTGACAAAATAATTCAATAAACCTCAGCAGCTTGTTTACTTTAATGAAAAGCTACATTGTGGAGTATCTGACTTTCAATGGTTAAAAACCCCCGAAGCTTAATGTTGAACCACCAGGGCCATTGTTTTGGTGAAATAATTCACAATTAATGTACTGTGAAAAATAAATTAATTTATTACTATTTGTTATAGGCTTAGAATTCGATATTCTTGTTTCCTATGTAAATTTAAATATTTGACGAGATAATAGTTTACATTTGCTTCTGATTTATTATTCCGAACTACAGGGGTTTTTCATGTATGATTTATAAAAAAAACATCTCTGTTATTAATATTAACTTCGGACTGTAAAATGATTTTATATTAAGGTATAGTGTCTTGTATTAACTAATAGACGGGGTTTCTAGATTTTGTTCTTGGAGTAGGAGTTATGGGTGAACAAATAACAATATCGGTTACAGCAGTTACGTTTAAAATTTTAGTTTATAAATGTATGTTGATGATATCTTGATAGTTTTTATGTAGCAGTTTATGCTAAACACCTTCGATAAAAATTATAATTAATAGTAAATAGTCTTAATTATTAGTGAAGAGCAAACATCAGAAATTCTCTGTGAATACTCTACCTGAGGTCATCAGTTGGGTATCCTCGCTAAACATTTTATCTAAATAATTGTAAGCTAAATTATACAACCTGACTCGTCTTCCGTGTTATTGTGTTAAACTAATCAACGAAGGACAAATCTGAAGTAAAGTTTTATCACAAGAACACTTATATGAAATTGAATTTCATTTGGATTTTTAAATCCAGCTTTCTCAGCTGTTATTATGTTAGGTTTTTATTTTGATTCATTACGTGCAGAAAACATCTAGTTATTTTGACAAATTTCCGTGCTGAATTGCTGTACCTTAATAAAGTGAGTTTCCCTAAACGTTTTAAATAATCTGCTTATTTGTATATCCAAGAAATTAACAATCCTTCAGCGAATAAACCCGATGTATATTTCATGCTCCGTTACTGTGTATTTCCTTACTTGGGTTTTTATATAGTTTCGAGTAAGTTTTAACAACATGGTTCCTTAAATTGAACTTTAGGCACATATAAGGTTGATGTGAAGAATATCATGCTCTTACTTAAACATCACTCTGTTGTGTAGCCAATACTTACATCCTCATTTTAATTAAGGTTACATTGGATCGACTACAAGAACGTTATTTCTCCACGTAAAGAACACAACACAGGATAAAGTTTATGTCGGTAAAAGAGAGAGACTGTTAATCAAGTACGTAAACCTTTAACTGTTTATAATATACATAAGCTATATCTAACTAAATTACTGAAAGCGGGAAAATGTTGAACTTCAGAGTATGTTAACACGATTGAATTTTACTGCAGCCAACGATTACAAATGTTTTGGTAAACTTACATCCATAAATGTTTTCATAATAATTTTTTCACAGTTAATCATATTTCAAAAAAATCTAAAATAAAGCTTAGTTTTCTCCAAGTTAGTCAAAAACTTTTCTGACTTCAAACAAGTGACGAACAGTTCAAAATATATATAATACATTATCAAAAGATTGAAAAATGCTCCTTCCTTTTAAACTACTACAATGTAAAATGCAGAACTGTGAAAAATGGACGTTTATTGTCCTTTCTGAGGTTCGTGAACATTACTGAGCTACATATATGTAATGCAGCTTATTTTTGGTGATACCCTGGAATATTATAAAGCTGAAATCAGTAACGCAATTCCAGTCTTATGAATTTATCGGGCAAAGGAATAAGTCGTAATTAGGCATTTTTAATTATAGCAATTCTTCAAATAATATTTAGACAAGGTTTCTATGATGCAGACCTTTATCTAACTTTCGTGTACAATAGCAAGGTTTTCCATACTATTTTTAATTATTATTTAATTGAATTCAATTTAAACGTTTCAGAATAATAATGTGCGAACATTTTAGTAAAATGATTATTATCTACTTAATGCACAAGTTATAGTAGCATTTGGTAGGACTTGAACTGTTTTTGATTTGTTTTTAAAAATAGTTATCGTCTAGCAACTACTAAAATCTGTTTCTAAACATTAACGTATTTACTTATAATCACTTTCTAAACTGTTAAGATTTCACTGCGTCTACTTTCCCAGTAAATATTTATATCTGGTGATATGCAAAGGCAGATCCATTCAAGTGATTTTATTAAGTGAATTTGATTTGTAAGCTTACATGTTTTGGAGATTGATTTTCAGGTGCCTCCCAGTGGTTCAGCGGTAAGCCTGCGTACTTACAACGCAGAAAATCGGATTTGATACCCGTGATGGGCAGAACACAGCCCATTGTGTAGCTTTGTGCTTAACAACAAATCAACCAACCAAAGTTACAAAAAATACAGAGGTCGTTTAGTGCTAACCTGAAGTTTGTTTTTGGTAATGGTTGTCAGCAACACAATTTAAAATAAGTATGGTATTTTGAGTTGTCTTCTTGTCACAGTGAACCTATATTTATATATCATTTGAAGAATATGTAGTACTGATGCTATTAGTTTATTCTTCTGAACTATTCAACAGATAAGATATTTAAGATACTTAAAATAGGTATTAATGAGAGGTGGAAATCCCAGAATACAGTATAATCCAGTGAGAGTGATGAATCGAATTATAGATTAGGTTCCATATTGATTTTAAAACTTGACATAAAAAATCTTCAGTAGTAGTTCTTTTTTGTATTCTTAGGTCTCAACTCTTTTTGAAAAATGTAAAAAAAAACAGGTAAGCAGAAGAGCCACATACCTGAGAGTGCATGTAATTATTATTTCATGGTTTGTTTATAATTAAGCACAAAGCTACACAATGAGCTATCTGTGCTCTGCTCACACTGGTATCGAAACCCAGTTTCTAGCGTTGTACGTCTGCTGACATACCGCTCTACCACTGGGGGGGCTGCATATAATTAACGTCAACCCAATTTTACTTGTGGTTATAGCAATAATCCACCTCACTAGTCTTAATAGATAGATAGATGCTAAAACATGATTTGCTGATCATAATTTAGATTGGATTAAAGAAAAACATGCGTAATTTACGAACTTTTTTCAAGAAAACATGTGGCACTTTACCAGAGGAAAATCTTAGTATTGAAATTTTATTACAAAACACAAAAAAATACATTATGGCGCATTTTTTTTAAATACTATCATTTAATGATTAGGAATTCACAGGAATTTAGTACATGTTCAGCGTTACAATTACAATTAATATTTACGAAATTTGTGATTGGGTATTTTGTGTAAATCTGCTATGTACTTTTAATCATTAAGATAAACTTTTGCTGCAGAAATCTTTTATGAGTTTTAAAAATTATCTGGAAAACTAATTGGTTTTCAACTTTATTCTTTGCGTCTTATAATTGCTTTTAATATGTATTTTGGACGATAATAATGATAAAAACACAACCCAAATATTTCAGCTTCGATTGTTGAGTTTTAACGACACAAGAAAATATTTGGTTTTTGTCAGGGTTTTACTAAAATAAATTGTTAAATCGTGATTAGATTATTCTAGTAAAACCATCCTTAGAGAAAAACAGCTTTATGTGTTACTTAAGACTTCACATTATAAAAAAAGAACGACGTACAATAAAATTCATAACAGACATTTATATGTTAACAAACATATAGTTCTAGTGTGATTTTATTGTTGTTATTTAAGTGTTTTTTGTAATATAGTGATTTTGACTGAATTATAACTTATTTGTTGCTTTACTGTTTTAGTAGAATAGAATGTTTACCCTAAATTCTGTTGTTGGTACCCGAGCACATGCATCATATTTCATCTCGCTAGCTTGTAAGTGAGGCTACAAATACAGTTTCACACATGGCGCTCCCGAGATCCAGAGGGAGGCCACGAACACAAATTCAGTCAGGTTTAGCTACCTGAAATCTACTCCTAGGCTTCCATCATGCCTGAGTGACCTTGCGGGGGTGTTCTAGCACCCTCTGTCCTCTCTTGGTAAGGGGACTAAACCATATAAATAAGGATACCCTCGGACCGCCCCGAGTTCGACTGCTAAGCCTGATCCTGTTAGTACCAGGAATATGGGAGGGGTTAGCTGGCCATACATATATACAGAAAAAGCTAAAAGCTGAATTAATGTACGGCGAGAAGGATATTTTGACGCTGTTACCAGAAGAAGCCTGTTGTACTGAATGGCTAAAAGGGTATGTTCGTATAACATGTAATATGAAGATAGAATGATTCATGTGGATTTTTTATGATATCACTAGACAGCCTACCAGAAGCTCGTATTTTTTATTTGATCGTTATGGGTATATGCCCAGTTACGCATGTTAAAAACATTTCGACGGTCTTTCGAAGGGGGTAATATTTTTACGAAGAAAGAAACTCTGTACTGCTGCAATCGTTTACATTTAGGCAAAGAGATAGAGTTTCAACATAATACCTGATGATGACATAATCTTATCGAAACATCTTACATTTATAATAGTTTTCTTCATTAACCAGTCAAGCCGTCTCCAAACTTTTATTTTCAACATAACAGCTTCATTATTTATTTTTTTTACACTTAACTACAGAAAATAATCATACTTAGGTCTGTAATATTCTAGAAACTTCTCTACTAGTAGTGTGTTTGGTTTTATAAGTCACCAATTTTCACAAAAACAACTTTGAAATGAGAAAATAAATGTTCGTCTCTGTTTGTTGAATGTTGACATGCAAATAATTCTTATTGAAACGTAAAAAACATTTTGTATAATAATTATCTTATTTTAAACACAAAAAAACGTCATCTATTTCTTTAACAATGTGTTACATTTATCGAATTCGATAGAAATATTAACACTAAAATGTTTTAGTTTTCTCTGTAAAATATGGGTAAGCACAAAATAAGCTTAATAGTAAAATTGCTTGTTAGTTATAACTGTAAAACATATTCAATGTAAAAGTTTTAGATTTCTTTCGTCTATTATATGGTGCTTCCTACAAGCCTCCAGTGGCACAGCGGTATGTCTGCGGACTTACAACGCTAGAATCCGGGTTTCGATACCCGTGGTGGGCAGAGCACAGATAGCCCATTGTGTAGCTTTGTGCTTAATTATAAACAAAGAAACAAAACAAGCTTCCTACAACACACGTGTCTCTGTTAGTACGAAAGGAATTTCTCTAATACGAGTAAAAAACTGAATGCTACTATTGGGTAAATTCCATTCAGAAACAACATTTTTGAGATTCAAAACATTTATTTTGTTAGAAGAGAAGATAATTGGATTTATAGCTGAACAAAAATGAGAGTTAATGGAGTTAATTTACATTGAAAATATACATATATCGTATTCTTATGGCTGTATAAAAAAGCAACTCGCTATCACGAACTAGCCTTTCTACGACCTTAGAGGTCTATACATATTAGACAAAGTAAAATAAATTAACATATATTGAGAATTATAAATATATATTTCTAAATAAATGTTTTTCACAAACTTACGAATGAAATTGAAGCTAGAATTGACTACTGTATAGTATGAGCATATTTGATAGTTTTAAGAGTTTTTCGTTCATATAAGATGTTATGTAAAGGAGTGCAGAGGGACTAGGCTTAGCGAAGCAGTGTGTAATCCCAACCTCATGCAGAGAAGCGGAAATGACTACTTGAGTAAGCTGTGCATTACTTAAATAAGTCATCTTTGCTTTTTTATTTCTCTCACTGGGCAGCTAGATAATAGCACCCATCGTTAACTTACATTTATTTCCATAAGAATAATTTTCATGATGTTTGTCTCTCCCCATCCTCCGAATATAATCAATGAAAATAACTAAAGTTTACAATAATTGTATTTTAAGTAGTTTGTATGAACCTAATTTATCTAACAGTTCTTTGCTCAAACTGTTTTCTTTTCTGTTATTTGATATAACATTAATATTTTGTACAAACATTTTTTTCATAAATTTTGCTTGTAGTTCAGTATTTTTTTTTCAAAGTTGCACGCTACATCCTATAATAGACAGAAACTTGCTTACACTTAGGAGACTAGTACAGTGCATATTTTGATACTAATAGAGGGCAGCACATTATGAGAAACCTTTTCATATATTAAGAGAAAATATTTAATGTTTTATATTTAGCAAGTTGGCTACTCTGTTATATTTTTAGCCTATCATGATGCTGTCACCATATAAAACCTCGGTATTTGCCATCACAGCTGATCCAACGTCGTAGCTATGGAAACAATCAGGCCTCCAACAGAGTGGATGTTTACTCT